TGTTGAAGCTTCCAAATTACCTCTCGGTCGAACCTTTGATTTTAGGCCAAGCAAAACATTTCTCTCCCAGTTTTAAGAGGATGAGTGGTACTTGTATAACAGCATTTTCAGCAGATTCGGATGTATGATGCATCAATAACTTTTGTTGATAGATATATCTGTGGGGAATAAGTCACATATGTACAGTGGTCTTTGTCATGGACTGAGGTCAGAAGGACTACCTCCTGAAAACCTGGTAGCACTGGAAAGCTGTTTCGCGCTAATGTAGAACTGATCAACAGTCAACACTATCTACACCATGACGGATCAAACCCAGGGCCGCATGGTGAATAGTCCATGACTAGGATGAAACAGCTGTTCAGTACTCCTAGGTTTTTAGTCGTGCTGCAGTTGACTTCAGTATGGTACGAAAGCTACTCTAAAATCGATAAACGTCATAAATCCTTTGCTTAATTCACCTTTCATTAAGATGTCACATTACTATTTGTTTTTATCTGTGATACGTCGACGATATCCACGTTTCATAGCTATAGAGTCTCTTAAAATGTTTTGCTTTTGTTGGTTGGATTTCTCCCCTAAGGCTTCAGTGATGTTGAATTTAACCCAGAATAAACACCAATAATGTAAATGAACTTTTTTTTACGTTCAGTGAAATTTTATGTAGTCGGAATGAGATCATATTAGCACTATCAACGATAGCAAATGGATTTTTAGGAGGGTAGAATTCAGAAAGCATTGCTGTCTTTAAATGAAAAATAGTGATGGCGTCACTCACACATCAGCCGTATGACTAGAACAACAACGAAAGATCTCAACATGCATAAACAGCCTGGAGGATTGAATTCAACATAGAAATAGAATATCAATTGGATAGACCACCTGCTTTGGACTATGTGTGTAGTAAAAAGGATGATGGATAGCAGTTGAAAACTGCTTCTGATAAGTAACCAACTCATCCAGAAAGATTTTCAAACTCCCAGTGTAACAAACTAGTCACAGGAAAACTAGGTCTGATACACACATGATCTTAAACGAACTGATCAATAAAGGGTAGACAGTTACATCTGTCTACTCTTTAGTGATCAGCTTCGATGTGTTCGCCAAACTAAATGATGTAAAACTGTGGCGCACTATATTTCGGTGTCAGATATTAGAAATGAATTAGTAGGAACCTGTAGATCTAGATTTTGTGCTTGTTGATATAAATCAGCAAGGCACTTCTGCAATATCAAGGAGAACTACTTTCCTCCAGGTATTTTAACTTGTTGAAAACCGAAACCCCATCACTTAGAGAACAGTCGTTTTTTCAGGGTCTCAGATACCCTTTATTGGTGGGTCGTGGTAGGAATGAAGACCAGGTCCAGCCTCTCCTACTGACTGACTCCCTACATTTGACATAAGTAAGCTAGTAACAAACTGGACAAATGAATAATTTATTGGGGATACCAGTTATCAGTAACCAGCTAAAAGAAACACAGAAAAATAACATCAGCAGGTGAAAGAAAACATATCAACGTAAGATGATAAAAAAGTGGTCATAAGAGATCAGAGCGATACTGTACCATAAAGAAAACCTAAGGATAGGTGTCAGTGATCCATTTCACGAAGAATCAACTGAACCAACTGTTATACCCAGTTAAGGAATCTTACAAAAATGATATTATGAACGAAGTATCACATTCTGAATACTCCATTAATCATCGGCTCTAAACAGTAATATCACTGACGGGCAGGCTGAATGACCAACGAAGATTAGCTTCAGTCTGATCCACTAAGGTTCTCTACACCCGCTCTGATAAGTAAGATTAAATTAATCCTGATAAGCTAGTGAATTTAGGGTAGTAGTCTCACATTTCGTCTTGTCGATGCATTTTAACAACTAACTGTTGATAGATCTTCATCTAAACTACAGGGAAGTTGTTTCAGGGAGAGGAAGAGAAGAAGATGCATACATTTTACAGTAGTAGTTCACTAAGCGAGCATGGGAATCTGGAAGAAAGAAAAGGAGAAAAAGTGGGCTAATGACTTACCTAACACATAAGATGTGATAACTTTCATTCTTAAAAGACGATGGACAATATTTTATGATGCAAAATGAGAAGAGAGGACAAGCTTGAAGTCATATCCAGGAATCAAGTGAGTAAGGTTCCTCTATGCTTAACAACAAAGTAGCTCAATTCGGTTATAATACTACATAAGTACTTCCATGTTAGATTTGTTTACTTGATTTGCAACACACAGTGATACAATATTATTTACTTGATGACATTTCGAACATAAATTATTGCTCATAATCAGATAAACAAATCGAATATGGAATTACACTTTACAACAGTACCCAAGTTTTACACTTAATAAATAAGCACTTGCTGTGTGCTCAGTTTAAACATGCTTCTTTCTCCAACTAACTACATTTGTGGAGATTTTTATTGCCTGCAATTTTGAATAGTGTTTTTGGTTCACTTTCCCCACTCATGTATGTTAGCCGTTTCCTACTGGCTGGTAACTGTTTGAACACTTTTTATATAATCTCTTTCCTATAGACTTCGAAAGATATATGAATCTGACAGCTATAGTCTAATATGGACTTCTGTGATAAAGCTGAAAAACTATTCCGTCCAGTCAGTGAACATATTTCTTTACTAGATGAGACTGGTGCGTACTGCACTGAAATAACTACATCGTTCATTATCTGCTGATCGGTATTCTTGCTCAATCCAGTGAATAATATTACTATGATATTACTTAAAAGCACATACTGAAGGGGTTAGGAAGATTCAAGTGTCTTCCACGACTACTTTGCTATGAATAAAAGCAATTTTCAAACAAATTTAGCTATTTGGATAACGTAATTAGAAAAACTTCCAGTTTTCATGTATAATGTCTTAACATGTAAATGTGTGATTATATTGTTTGAAATGTATAGCCCAAATATATCACATTTTTTAGATAATGTATATCTTCTAACATCCCGTTGCACCAGACTGGTGCTGCTCACCTTTTTTCTCAGTATGCTAGAAATGTTTTTTAAGCAGTTAACTAGAATTCCTTCTATAATGACAGTCTAATAAAGACAACTTTAATTTGTTAGGAAAACAATCCAGCTCCATTACTATCGTTAATACGACGTAATTTCATCCAACCTATGATCTACTGGTAAAGAAATATATTACCTTTTCCCAAACAATTACTGTAACAGCTGACGAATGCAGTGTCAAAGTTCAAATCTTTCGAAGCAGATATCTTAAAATATGATAGTAATGCGGTTTATCTAAGTTTAAGCTGATTTTAAAATATTACTATAGAAGATGCTTAGTACTTACTATAAACCTGTGTAGAAAAATAATGGCAGCCGTGATGGATTAGAAGTCAATGTGTGTGAATTAACAGTGATGAACAATAACGCTACATCATCATAAATATTACGAATGCCTAGGTGGATCACAGCTTTCAGACATTCTAGTTACTTAGTGTCGATAAATGAAGTAAAACCATAAAATGATTGGTTACTGGTGACTAACAGTTACGTGTTGCTTAGTCCTTAATTTAGTTTAATTTAATCGACCAATTTTTACTTCGGTAGCTAGGTTAGGTGGCTCAGCGTCATGGAGAACTTTGGTGGATGTTAGGTGGTTGAAAGCAATCTGTAATAAACGCTGAACCTAGATTTCAAGCTTGTTGGCACTCGTCAGCAGGGCGCATCTGTAATTTAGACATGACTGATGTTTCTTCAGTGATTCAAACGCGCATTAACTAGTATTGTAGTCAGAGACATTACTGATGAGTTCTTCAGGCTATGAGGTACCTGCATCCGAGGTGAGTGGTGTTATTTCCAATGCGACTTGAATATCAAGGAGTCCGACGAAGCAGGCTATGGAGCAGTGGTATAAAAAGTGATAACCGTTACGAAAGAAGTGTCTGTTGCGACTCAATGGCCCAGTGGGTAACTCTGTACTGTTTTTAGCTCTGGGTATTGCTTTTGGTTCTCAGTGGGCACTCTGTCATGCTAGATGCAGGTATATCCAACTGACAAGATCGAAATGGGACAGGACGCACGCCTCAGATTCCCCAGCTATGTACACCAAAAAATAAGCATCGTGATGAAACCTAAAGCAATATTGAGGTATCTGTTTAAAGACGCACCAATCAACAACCGGAGATTAAAGTAGCAATAATCAAGTACTTAATAACCCTTGAGCAATAAGCTATTATTCAGTATGGGTATAAAGTCATATGCAGATAAGTTTAGCAGTAAGGTATCTTACATTAACAGATGAAGTACAGCACCACAAAACTCAAGATTACTACAACAAATCTGGTCACATCTTAGGTTTCAATCAGTTTTATTCATAATAAGCTTGGAGTATTTGAATCTGATAACTAGTTTCCATCATAAATACTTGAATTATTAATCAATTTAACCGATCAAACTTACTACATATTGATTGTTTATTTTCAAGATTTAGTGATTTTTCAATGTGTACAGTGTGGCTCCTCTAAGAATTTTAAGCAAGTTCATATTTAACAGGCCAATTATCCCAAAAGTTTATTCAGTCATTATTCGTTAGACGAGAATATGGTTAAATGCACCATTGTTTTTTGCTGAAGAATATAAGAAATGACTAACTTTTACTCAGAATAACTAGTTAAGAAATATCCGAGTCAATAAATGAGTGCATTGAATCGATTTTGAATTTTGATTCGCAATGAAACAAACAAACGGTTAACAACATTTTTACTCAAAGATAAATATGTATTATACTTCCACCAGTATTGTTGTTATTACTATCACTATTATCATCATTATCATCGTAATGAACATCGAAATCATGACTGTGCTATATTAAACTTTGTTCAAATGTCCATTTTGTTTAAAAAAATAATTATATATTACATATTCATGCATTCATTGATTTTAATCTACTTAACCTGGATGTATCCAACACAAGGGATAATTCACACCACTTTTCATAAAAGTCTTATACCATATTACAACCGCGTTAACAATTATAATAAGGATTATTTAAAAAAACAGTATTATCACAATCCATTTCATACGCTTTATATATACCATTATCCTGAGAATCACTATTATTATCTTCAGTCGAATTATCAATAATTCCCGGTATTGAGAAACTCAAATTCATTGAAGTGGAAACAATGAAAGAGACCAAAGAGTTCAATGGCAATGAATCTCCACTCACATCAGAGGATCCTTGTGATCAGAAAAAAACAATTAACCGTCTCACAAAGAATGGAGGTAGTGATACTATTCCACCTGAGATAAGTTATAATTCAACATCATTCACTGCTGATAATAAACCGGAAAGTTCATGGAGTGGAAATTCAAATGAAAAGATGAATGGAAAATTGTTTACGGTGAGACGGTGACGCCTGCTGTAAACGGTAATGATAAACCTGAAGGATCCACTGATTACTACTCTGAGAACCTGAAGTACAATGGATATAATCCATATTTATCAAACAATTTTGTCAGTAAACTGAAGGGAAAATTTCAGTATAATAGACAGGTAACGAGTCAACGTGAATCATCCTACTATATTGTTCTCCGTCCCCGGAGAAGGTATTACTCAACCCGGAAATGATCACAATTCTATTTGTGATCACAACTATTATCATTGTACCATGTTGTATTTCGCACCAAAATGTAGTATTATCTTTTGATGTCTGCACTGTCTGAAAATATTTTGATGTTTTGTATAATTATAGAGATGGAATAGGACCCGTGTGGAAAGCTCAACTTGTACAAAGAGGAGCACAAAAACTAACTGACGCCAACGCTTTCTTCGTTAATGATGCTTGAATTAGAAAGAGTTTACGCATTTACGATAGAACTGGGTGCTCTTAATCAAATAAGTGATATTTTGAGCTCTTATTGCCTTTTTATTCAGTACATCAATCTTTCAGTGTATAATGCATTGCACAAAGGAGTAGAAGTGGACTTTAGTAATTCTTACATCTCTCTACATATAATTATCAGCATTCAGGCCTAAGTATACTCCAAATTAGGAATGTCGCAAACAAACTGTTTTGAGGCAGAAAGTTAAAATTTTCAATCTCGTGAACATAATATTCGAAAATGACTGAAATATTAACCACTCATAGTCGCAGGAGGGGAAAAAAACTTTCATCAAAATAAATACCATACCATATAACCAACCTTAAACTACAGAAGCTAGAAAGATTAAGTGATAGTTTTCGCTGATTACTTTAGAGAGCTTTTTTCCAAAACTTTCTTTTCAGTTGAAATAAGGAAACGTGATTAGTTATTTCAACAGCAGGAGTAGAAACATATTTAGAGCAACCGCTTGTCTATAAAATGTGACTCAGGCAGCCTGACCTGCAAGTAACAAGTGCTCAGTCTAGCATAATATGAAGGTCATCAAGTAGCCAAAAGACTCCTAACAACAGATGTAAGGGGGCAGTTTTATCCTTTCCAATAAACAGGAAGGGGAAAAGGTAGACAGACAGAGAGATAGGACAGACCTGCATAACTTGATTATGGTGAGATTTAGGACTTTCAACCGTTAGAATGTGTAGAACAGGTGATGAAGTAGATTTGCTGAATATAATACACAAGTTAAGAGTTTTCAAAGACCTCATGTGAAAAAAGAAGACCATGTAGGATGAAGTCTACTGTTCCTGATCTTCACCGTCACAGCAGATCAGTAGTACACAAGTCAGTCTTTCTATACAATCAACAGTCATACCTTCAGTGCATTCAGTCTATGATCTATCTGGAGAAATTTCAGGGAAGCTGGAATATCCTGCGCCGTCATATGGATACGTTATCAAATACCCGATAGAAGTTTTTGGGACGGATTACTGACATCCACATAGATAAACACTTATTGACGACATAATTCGAAGTTTCAGCGTTATATACATTAACTGAACCGGAACTGAGAAAAGATGGTTTCAAACCAACTGACCAACTGACAATCCTACTCCTTTGCAAATGGATCATCATCAGCCATCATCAGTATCAACATACGATCAAGTATCATTGTTCAAAGATCAAGTTGCTGCCATCATATTAACACATCAAGTAATAAAACAATAAGATGGAAGATAAAGAAACGGAGAAGAATCAGTCAAAAGCAGTAAAAAAGAGGAAGCAGGAAAAAGAAAACACTGAAATTAGCATGGCGATTAAGATAAGGATAATGTGTGGCACTATAATTGATTCCGAATCATGTTGCCTAGGATCTTTTACCACTCATCTCTGCAGTCGCGCGGACTGCAACCGGGAAGTCTACATTCCAGTACACAGCAGTCGAAGACTTCATACACTGATGCCATGTTTTAGTCTGGTCGCCACGAGACTTTTTCCTGCCTGAACCCACTTCAGCTAATTTCGCGCAACGATGTAGGCATGCGTGGCACATATCCCATTCATCTCAGTCAATGAATGTTCGCAACTTCACCGACTTCACTCCTCTCTAAAAATTTTCACCTAACTTCTGCAATAATGAAGTGGTGACACCATGACATATGGCCTATTCTACGAAGACATCAGCGGCCGAACACCTGAAGTCCTTATATCATCTTCCTTTAATGATCATGTTTTGCAGCCAAACAGTAGAACACAGAGAACTGCAACGCGGTACACTCACTCTTAATAGGCAATATGATATCATGACGATACCACTAAGCTGATGAAACTCAGTCGATCATTTTTTCTATCTATGCAAAGATTTCGCCTGTCACTGGCCCACAGTGCTGATTCGACTTCTCAGACAAGTGGAATGTTCAACGCACCCATCCTCCTCACCCCCTACTTTTAGCTAAAGCATTGCAGAAGACCAGTCCTGGAGCAACAGTATGGATTTGTATGCAACGGCTAAAAGGCAAAATCGAGTGCCGTTTATGAAACTAACCGCAATAAAATTACATTTGACAAAGTGGTCAATCTATTTGTCATCGGTTTTATGAGCATCAAATGTTAGTCTGGCGCTCGTATATTTTGTCTCTTTTATCTGTTCATGTGGACAACTACGGACCTGAATTTGGTTTTAAAAATAAAGAAATCTTGGACAGAAGAAACACAAAATGCATCAACAAACTACCAGAAGCTTGACACCTCGGTTAACTAGCAGTCTAAAATGTATAAACATGTATCAATGTATCAAGGAATTTGTACAGTGGTGAACAACTAAACACAAGAAATCAGGAACAGAAATGGTCAGTAGCAAAGTCTGTGCAATCATTCATAAAAACATTGAGGAGCCAACCAAACACGTGCATCTAAGTTAGGAAAAGCTACTAAACCCTTCATAGGGGAATCGTGATAGCTCACTTACTTATTAAAATTAATGCTCATGCTATTGTCTGGAAAGACAACACCAAGAATAGAACATCATAAAAACATCTGCCTGAGCAGTAAATATTCTGTACCATCGAACGTTTGTGTGCGCATATGATAAGTAACCACTTAAAGTCAGCAATCAAAATTCCAAACTTCCTCCTGAACAGTAGGTGAAATCAGCTTCAAACAAATCTGACGAGTGTTTCTTGAATTATTCCCAGTTCATCAACAATCCTATCCTTGTGCAAATTTATCTAGTTACTCAGGATAGTAAGTGAATAATGTTCCTCTTCTTGCAAACTCCACTCAACTCTTAAGGTTCACGTCTGGGATCTACGTTTCGTGTCTGTTGACATTCATCAGCAAGGAGTATATGCAGTTTTGATATAAATGTTCGCTCGGACGAATCTAGCCAAGTTTCACCTCAGTACCTTTGAATTCCATGCAGAAGCTAGTACCCCAGTTACCTTATCACTAAACAGCGAATACAGATCTGTACTTTATACATCAAAGACCAGAATCTGCCAAGCTGGGTTTTTGCTTTCTAACACACCTTGTTGAAATTACATCTGAGTTATCGGAAAACTACTCAATTTGAGGAATGCTAACACGAACCATGCAGTTTAAAACAAAATCCCAAACAAATAATAAATTTAATACTATACCAGTCCACGCAAGTCATTGAGCCGAATTTGTTTGTTGATCTAAATCTTTCTCTGTACACCTTTGATGATCTGGGCACTAAGTTTTATTAAGGCTGTATTAAATAAGCTAACTTTATGTGGAATTACATTAGAACTCTGTGATTTGGTACTGCAACTCTTCTGGTAGATGGTGTTTTATAAACAAATCATAATTCTGTCTTGAAAAGAAAATCATTTCAATAATCTACATCCAGGATGTAACTTTAGTATTATCTTTAATGAGCGTAAGGATGTAGTGGCGATGAGAATTCTGCTTAATCCATTACCGGCGTATTAAGTTCTAGTTAAGGTCAACATTTGACGATAAAGAGATACCGTGAATAAAAAAAGAAATATTTGCATAGCGTGTTCATCCTCCAAGTTGAAAACAAACAACACGATGCTATACACGAGATATTCAACAATTTTCGTCAGTCATTCTCGCTCATATGTGAAAATGAGGCAGACACTGACCGCTACTTTGTAGTTGCTTTCCTGAGTAAAACAGCAGAATTATTTGTAAGCAGCCAAAGTGTTTTAGGTAGTACGTGAACCTTTAGAGTTGAGTGGAGTTTGCAAGAAGAGGAACATTATTCACTTACTATCCTGAGTAACTAGATAAATTTGCACAAGGATAGGATTGTTGATGAACTGGGAATAATTCAAGAAACACTCGTCAGATTTGTTTTAAGCTGATTTCACTTTCATTTCAGCGGTAGGCTGAGGAATCTGTAACATACACAGGGAAACGTTCAGAAAAATCTTGTTTTCGTTTTTCTAAAGACGCTGTGATTATGTTAGTACTTACCCATATTAGAAATGTACCTGACTAGGGACTCAACTTTGATCAGGATTTTCGAAACAATTATGGCCTGGATGTTTGCAACTATACCAAAGTGTTGGCCGTTCATATTCTACGGAAAAGCTTAAAGAAGAACTAGGAACTAAGTATCCCAGAGAAAATGGATATCGTAAATGAATTATTATGAAGTATGGAAAAGAACAAATCGAAAGAACCAAGCAACCAGGTGTTGAAAAGTAGAAGGCTTTTATACAACTTGTGTTCAAAAGAGTGCGATATCTTAGAGAAGAGAAGCAAGAATCAAAGGAGAACTAAAAAGAATCTATCCTGCAGTCAAACTTGAATCAGCATACGATACCGCATGCTCAATGAAACCATCCAAACTGGGTAAATATTCTGCTCATCTCAACTCCAAGTAAATTTGTGAATTTACACACACTTGCAGTAACAAGCACATTAAAAGGACTGAGAGGAGGTCATCCACTTGGTTCTCTAAGTATGTTCTCAAGAGCTTATGCCAGTTTAATTGGCAGACACCTTATAGATACAGAACACCAAACTGACACTTTCAGTTATTTTAGAATAATAAATGTGCAGAATAAGAGCTTCGTGAAAACTATTGCAGTAGAGCGCTTTCAACCGAACCTCTGCATACAGAAGAGTGTGGTCAATCGCTTACTTCCATGGTGACTGAATTTTGGTCTTGTTTCAAACACATGATTATTTTACTCACTGAGTTGATCTCAATCTAATAGATTCCATTTCTTTTGGTGTTACAGAATGTGTTAGCTAGTATTAATTGTTCCTTTCTTACATTTAATACCCTTCAGTAAAACTCTCGAACTTTATATTACCATCTTATATAGAATTGCAGTAATTTTGATGTGCAACTCAAGGTAATTGACTTCTCAACTTTAAGTTATCTTATGTGCTAATAACCACTGTAATCTTAGACTGTATACGGCTAGTGAATGAATATTCGTTGAATAAAATGATATCGTTTAACGCTGGGAATCTAGTCCTTCTTACTTTAGAAAAAATTAACTGTTTACGAAAAATATAGTGCTAGGTGCCTCACCTTATTCTGTAGTTTTCCCCCTAAATTTAAAAGGTGGTTATAATGAGATATGCGTTCGGCTCTAGCTGAAAACCCCAAGTTGGTGTATCCACTGGGAAATAATGTGGCTGAGACACAAAGTGATGCCTAATATACACCGGTACTGGTGTAAGAAACACGCACATGTAAACTGCGCAATATGGATCACTGAGTAATAGATGGCATCTGGTTTCGACTTGTATCTGTTTCTGAAATGTGCTGTGGGCCAAATCTTCTGCTTGAGAGATAAAATCCCCCATGATGCTTCTTTGCTCAATGTAAAGTCACAGGAATTAGTAGGTGAGTGAAGGTTGATGAAAGTCATATTGTCAAGTTTTCACAACTGGCCAGGTATAATCGGTTATTTTTTAAGCTGAGCTGTGATCAAATATCTGCGAACCCTTTATTCGATGTCATATAGTATTTATCATTTGAGTTCGCAATCAAATATCACCCATGAGTAAATACAAACTCAGAGCAACTGTGGCGCTCATAAGTCCAAGTATTGTAAAAACTGAAGCTAGTTTTACTCTCTGAAAGAATATCGTTTAATTTAGTCTTACTGAAGAGTGTCAACAAGAACAAAACTTTTGTTTATGACTTCGTATCTACTGGTTCCCAACTATACAACACTATATACTGGAATTGTGAACAAGTTACTTGGTGACTGAGGTTTGAAAGCCTGTACTATTGACTCACACCACTCCTAAAATGCTTGTATGAAAATGAAAGAAATGCCAAGCCAAGAAATTTAACGAGTTTAGTAAGATTTAAATGTCCATTCTGGTAGGATATTATTGGAATTCAGTTGTTGTAAAGTGAGAAACATTTTGAAAAATAATTTATTATTCTTGTTGCAAGCTGTGCAAAGAGTCTGATATTAAGGAATTTCTAACTTCTAGAAGCCTAAGCCCATAGGACCCGAACCTGTCAAGCCCATCATATCCCCGAAGGGATTACCACCTGGTGTCGGCATAAAGTTCCCCGGGCTTCCCTCCATACCAGGTATCTCTTCTTCCTTCTTATCTTCATATTTATCTTGTTTCTGTTCTACACCTTCACCCTTCGCATATTGATCGTTTTTATAGTCGTTCTCACCTACTTTACTTTTTGGATAGCTGGCTTCGTAATTTTTTTGACCTTCATTATTCTTCTTCCTCTGACCATCCCGTTTACCGGCTTGTCTGTAAGTTTGCTGTTTAGCGGAGCCATATACATGACTTTTGTGATTGTTCTTATTACTATAAGTACCATAACGATTACCATTGTAATTCTGATTATAATTACGCTTTAAATTACCATTGTAACTAATGTCATTTTCATCATTGTTGTAGTCGTTGCCATAATAGTTGACTTGATAATCATTATTGCCTTCGGCGTTATTTTCATCGAAGTAACTTCCATAATTTACATTCCCATTGTTATCACTATCGTAATCACCATTGTAACTATTGCGATTGTTGCCGTTATTACGATTACCGTTATGTTTGTTGTTTGCGCCATTGTGGTTATTTCGTTTGAAGTAATTGCCATTATTTCTGTTACTATTGTAATTATTATTGTAATCAACACTCTGACTTCTGCGATTTTTGCCATTATTCCGATTACCATTATACTTACTGTTACCAGGATAGTTATTTTGATCGAAGTAATTGTCATTATTTCTATAACCATTGTAGTTGTTATCATAGTCACCAATGTAACTGTTGTGGCTCTTACCACTATTACGATTACCATTATACTTACTGTTACCAGGATAGTTATTTTGATCGAAGTAATTGTCATTATTTCTATAACCATTGTAGTTGTTATCATAATCACCATTGTAACTGTTGCGGTTCTTATCACTATTATGATTACCGTTGCCGTTGTTATTATACTGACTGAAGTAATTGTCATTATTTCTATAACCATTGTAATTGTTATCATAATCACCATTGTAACTGTTGCGGTTCTTATCACTATTATGATTACCGTTGCCGTTGTTATTATACTGACTGAAGTAATTGTCATTATTTCTATAACCATTGTAATTGTTATCATAATCACCATTGTAACTGTTGCGGTTCTTATCACTATTATGATTACCGTTGCCGTTGTTATTATACTGACTGAAGTAATTGTCATTATTTCTATAACCATTGTAATTGTTATCATATTCACCATTGTAACTGTTGCTATTATCATAATCATGATTGTAATCATTATTGTTGTTGTTACCATCGTAGTTGAGACCGCTGTATCTGTTATCATTACTGTAGTAATTGTCATCGTTATCATTATTATTATTACGATCATAATTTTCATTGGTATATTCATTGTCTCGACCGTAGTCCTCGTTGATATCGTAATTAGTATTGTAATTTTCATTATTAATATTGTCATATGCATCATTGTCGCGTTTTACAGCATATTCTCCGATGTACTTACCGTAGTTACCATTGTCATAAGTATCACCGTTGCGCTTTATTTCGGCATCCGCATAGTTTTTACTGGTGTACTTGGTATTACTGTCATCATTGTTGTAATTATTATTATCACTGTATTTTTGAGGCACCTTACCATTACTTTTGGGTATATGCTTTATAACTTCAGAAATTTCTCGACGATTTTTGATAACTTTTTCATATTTCACTGAATTTTTGTCCTGAGATAAACTTTCCGAGTTCGCTGTAGTGTTTGGTTTTTCACTGGAACCAGTATAAAACTTATTTTTGAAAAGGGATGGTGATAATGAAGATCCATTAGTCGTCTTGACAGAGGTTTTCGACGAAGTGTCAATTTTCGTTTTTTCCTTATAATGACTTAGAGTTTCATCTTCTGTGTGTATTCTTTTTTCAATTTTCGGTGAACGTACCACATAGAAGTAGACGTTTTCATCACTGTACGGTACGCATAAGCCGAATGGGACTAAGAATATCAAGGTGATTACATTCAGTGGCAATAAAAACTTCATTTTCCTTTGCTTCCAGTGCGTGGGATAAGAAAATGAAATTCATCAGCCTTTGTTTTTATTCAGTTTTATGATATGTACTGAAGTAGAAAAGCGAACTATTGAACATAATTTTACCATTCAATAAATGGTATAATGGTAGCAAATTGTGTAATACAGTTTGGTCCGATGGAACATTGTGTTTACACACCAAAAAAACGAAAAATGACATTTTTCTGCACTTCTAATGATTTACGCATTTTTCCAATCGATGTATTGATTGTACGATGACTTCATTAAGTTTCACGCTGGAAACAAAATGTCTTATACGAATCTTATGATACGAGTAAATAAGTTAGCTCTCTCCAGAAGCTAAATTTTCTCAGTTTATGGTAGCAGGAGTTTCGCGATAAATAATGTGTTAGAGAAATTCACAACCTGAAATGAAGGTTCCCTTGGAATGTCAACATTTTTATATAGCAGATTAATTCTGCTTGGCTTGATAACGACAGTGCGCTGAAGTATAGCACATGGTGTTTATCCAGTGCTGATTCACGATCTAATGACCATAAATCATGGCTTATGAGTGTCTGACTTCCGGAAAGGGTATTCAAGGTTCTGAAAAGAAGTCGTGAGGTGTGCGGTGAACCAATTCAGAAGTTACTACTGGGAAATTAAGACACCGATGGATACTGAAGAATGTGGACCAGTAATTCCAAGCCTTATAGTTAGAAGGAATTCCGACTGATGTAATACTTGAGGGTTTGAACTCGACCCACAATAATAGCTTAGTGAGTATGAAGAGTTCGGGGCCAACCAGTTCTTCCTCATTTCCAGTGATATTTCATTTGATTCCAGTCTATGGTAATAGCTACACTTAATAAAAGACATATGTAATTAAAATTCAGTTTGTTACAACTCAGAAATACTAGATTTTGTCAGTTGCATCAAGATTATTTAGTTGTTCAAATGTTATCTGTTGATTTGGAAAGTGGTTATAGGTTAACTAACTATCACTCATGTTTGTTTGTTGTTGCCAAGGTTGGTGAAATACTGTTAAAAATTTTTACAAAGTGTCAGTAAGTGTCTCTGGCTAAAAGATTTGTCAAAGAGAAAACAAGCATTGAGTTGAATTCAAGTTTGCTGTACTTTCTAACTTGCTAATACCATTTTTATTGCTCTTCGAAACAATGTTCCTGTCAGAAAAGCCAAATATCTCTAAATTCAAAAGACGAATGGTGTGCAAATGATGGTCGTATATTCAAGACCTACCCAGTAATAAACTGGCAACTATTCAACACTCTGAAAGTTTAAGTTTTGATCATTTGCTTGATTAGGGAGGCATAAAATTAAAAAAACTTTTGTAGGTTGATTGATCATTGGAAGATAACTAACTCCAGTCCCGAGTGCTGTTCTAATTCTGTTGATCATTTCACAGTGTGGTCATCAGGCTAGGTGATTCAGCATTGTAGCAGAGAACTAGACAACATGAAGTTGGCTACTCTGCAGCTGCCAACCAATGTATGCAGTCCAGTCCCAGAGGAGGTCAGCCTCGGCCTTCACAGACTAGTAGTAACGTCTCTGACTGAAGCACTGGATGACATGGGTTCGAAATTCAGGCGGGACATAAGTTCCGTAGAGGCTGCAGATATGCCCTGCTAATGAGTGCCAGAACGGACAAAACCTAGGTCCAGGACTTCCTGCTGACCGTCTCTATCCAATTAAAAGGACTTATATATATATATATATATATATATATATATATATATATATATATATATATATATATATATATATATATATCAGTCTGTGACTATAACTAGAATCAAATCATTTGAAAGTCGCATTCGTCACAGACTGACATTAATTGGAGAACTATTGAAAACCTAGGAGTACTTGACATCTGTTTTTTCCAAGTATGAAACAACTAAGCAACACATACATACAACCCAGCGCGAGATGAAATACAGAATCATCAGATCTCATGGCGAGCAATGCAGTCATTGTAATAGAGTTCAGCGGTTCTCATCTTCTTACTTTTGTCAATTAATGATGTGCAAGGAATAATAAAGTACACACATAAGACTTGACAGACCTTGGTTCAGTCCCGTGTGGTTTTGTACGTGCTCATTCCCAAGAAATCTCACACTGCTGTCCCTCAACTGATAACAATACGTGATGAAGATTGCCTTTATATATATATATATTCTTTCATACCACGGCTTTCTTAAATAGTTTCCTTATTATGCGTATGTGTTCAATGAAGCATTTATATAAGAAATCGCGATCTATTACTATGATGCAGTGGGTGGGACATTCGGTTCGAAATTTGCGACTTCTGCTTATAAGAATATAGGTGACCAGTATGTGGTAATTTTTGTATGTAGATCAAGAGGAGAGGGAGGAATTCTACAGACAACTGCAATCATCATTGGACAAGACCCCATCTCAGTTGGCGACATCAAAATTCTAATGGGTGGGGTGACATGAATGCCAAAATGGGAGCGGACAACACAGGAAGAAAACTGACCATGGGCCGAGAAGCATTCGATGAAATGAACGAGAATGGAGAACTGTTTACAGAATTCTGCGCATTCAACCATTTGGTGATTGCAGTGAGGCACTCTGTTCAAGCACAATGATATCCACAAAGCGACATGGATTTGATTTCATCAGATGGACACACAAAACATCAGATCGACTTCATCTCAGTGTGAAGAAAGTGGAGATGCAGCCTACTGGACACAACATCAGGTCAAGAAGGGTGTGCAGATGTAGGTTCACACCACTCACTATCCAGTACAAGCAAACTTTCAAATCAAGTTGAAAGTCTTCAATTCAAGGAAGCTGATGATAGACCACACAGTTCAAGTTCAACACCCAGAACAGAAACTGAACTGAAGGACGAAACTACAAGGGACATCTTCACGGCAGCCAAAATGGGATATATCGAGGAACATCCCTGAAGAAACCTGTGTGGATGAACACCGGAAGTCTTTGAAAGCTATGTGGAAGGAAACCTGCATAACCATGTTAGGAAATAAGAAGAAAGAAGACAATGAATGGATTTCGATGGACACATGGAAGCTCATAGAGGTGGGAGAGGAGGATGGTGAAGCAGAAGATGAACCAGTGCAAGGATGAACAACGGGAAGAGGAACTGAGTACAATGTATAAAACACTACACTGGACAGAGAAGTGAAGAAGAGTGCGCGGAAAGACAAAAGACACTTCCACAACACACTGGCAAGTGAAGCAGAACAGGCTGCAGGTGGGAGAGATAGAGACCTGACAACATTGTATCGAATAACCAAGTTACTATCTGGGAAGAGATCAACACAGCACACATGAAACCAATAAAGGATGATGAAGGAAATATAATTACGAAAGAAGAGAAACAAAGGAAACAATGGGCCGACCACTTCAAGAAGCTCTTGAATCGACCACCATCTGCACTTCGTCCACAAATACCACCTGCAGCCCAGACGCTGAACTACAAGTGAACACAAATCCCCCAACAAAAGTCGAAGTGCTGAGCGCCATAAAGCTACTGAAATGAGGGAAAGCAGCAGGACTAGATGGAATCCCACCAGAAGCACTGAGAACAGACGCAGAGACAACAGCGGACATGCTCACACCACACAACTATTGCAGAAGGTCTGGAAGGAAGGGAAGGTACCTGGCTGTCGATTGGAAGAAGGGCTATCTTGTCAAACTCCCGAAGAAGGGAGACCTCAGTGTTTGCAAGAACTGGCGCGGAACCACGCTCCTATCCACCCAGAGCAAGCAGAATATTGAGCCACACCATCCTGGAGAGACTAAAGGATGCAATGGATTCAAAATTACCACAGGAACAGGCTGGATTCAGGATGTGCGGACCAAATTGCAATGCTACGCATCATCATAGAACAGAGCATAGCAGGAACATGTTCTCGTATACGTGTAGAAAGCATTCTCTGGCTACGGCCGATGTACCTTGCTCCACAAGAGCAGGTGAACTGGTAGATGCACATAGAGGCGGCCAAACGAGGAAGCTTGTCTCTAAAGCAGGCGGAGAATGGGTTGCGGCTGGTAAAAGTCAACTGAAGTCTTGCTGCCAAGAAAGTCCTATTGATTGATCTGGTAAAACGATTCTTCAGTACATCCGATGCTAGGTCACCTTTAAACTTTAGGCTCATAAACAATCTTTTCTTTGAGAACACAGCAGGGTGGAGGGAGAGACTGATAACTGAATTTTTGCTTATCCAACCAACACCTAATGCAAGCAGCAGGAATGACTCAACTTCTGTTCCGGATACATGGAAAATCTCACTACCCATATCACAAAGAGGAGGGGGGAGGAAATTGGGACTTATATAAAGGATGTCACGAAGTTGTGTGGTTATCTTGATATAGCTATGGCCAACAAGTTATCCGTAATGTAATCCAGTAAACAATACTGTTACACTGTGTGACAGATCTAATAAATCAACTGAAACTGGATAAAATTTATGATTTAAAATTTGGAGAGGTTGTGGTAAAGTTTTACTCTACTGCTTTATTATTAAGTTATCAAGCTTTATACTTCAGAAATAACCAGGTACACTCTAGCCTCTATAGCCACAGTCAAACGTGATTACCTAAAGCAACAGCAAGCTCTATAAGAAGAATGTGATATCACTTCATCCAATGGGCTTGGTATACTGAACTGACAATTGTTATCAACACTGGCTTAGCTTATACTCGTCCCACTACTACAAATAGCGGAAACGTTAATGTCAGAAAGCTCCAACGTATGAAAAACGTTGTGTGTTCAATCTTTACTATCCTGGTATTCTTCAACAACTATGCAGTCGTAAATAGTGAAAATCTGTTCATTAATTAAACTTAGCATCTGTAGATAATATGTCACAGCTAAGTCATTAAGAAGTCTCAATTTCAAATTATTTTTTTCTGTATTGGTCATTGTAGTGAAACTGACCAATCTGTAACCGAATTCATGTATTACAAGTTCTGTATTTTTGATACTGACATCTTTCTGCTCT